GTTTGTCAGGGCCTTTGTATGTGTCAGTGTGTGCATCTATGTGCCAGGGTGTGTGTATATTTATGAGTGTGTATGTGTCTTGCACCAGGGCCCTCTCTACGTTACTTTTGTCACAGGCTACAGGTCAAGGGCAGGAGCTGTGATTGCTGCTAATAAAGTGCTGATTTCCCTTCACAAGTGCTGAAAAAAGGTTTTCTGAGATAACTTCCTCTAAGTGCTATAATGCATACATTGAGGATTGTCACCACCTGCAATCACCGCTCGGTTTGTACTAGCAGATATCTGAAGTCCCACTGGGACACCTGACAGGCCAGAGCCTGTTTATCTCTGGCAGCATTGAGTGGCATGCAAAGGCACCTCGAGAGCAATGCGTGGCACACGTACCACAGAATAGCACCTATAGAATAACAGATTGCCTATAAGTTTAAAATGGATGAGAGTCTGTAAGGCAGTTTGATTACAACTTTAATAGACTTCTCCTTATCTTAACCTCCCCCTTTTTACTATCTAATTCTCTCTATCTCCCTCTAATATTCCACAATTGGAGTAGGGAAGATTAGTAATTATTAAATACTTTAATACACCAAGATCTAGACACAGGATATGGATTAACAAATTGATGATTTATTTATAATCATAAATAAGATTAGTGATTTAACTGTGTAATAACTACCAATGGTTAATATGATTAGGATTGTTAACTAAATTGTGCTGTAGCCATTTTCTATATCTATGGAACTGCCTGCTATTTAATTGGAGAGGTTTAACATCTCATTGCAATCATATTGGCAAACAGTGGATACAAGAAATTGCCAAAAATAGCTGTATCTGCTCTATGTTATTTTGTAACGGTATAGAAATTACTATAGAGATCACATGAGTGACATGATCACATCAATTGAGAAAGCTGAAATTGATGGTGAAACGTGTCTTAAGAGAGGACTATTTAATATGGTATTTGTTTTTTATTTTATTAAATTTTATGTTGAAAATTTTAATATACCCGCGTTTCTCCGAAAATAAGACCGGGTCTTATATTAATTTTAGTCACAAAAAACACACTAGGGCTTATTTTCAGGGTAGGGCTTAGAGCCAGTCTGTCAGCCGGTGTCCGCGCTGTGTAACCCCCCTAGAGACCCTCACCTCCCCCTCCCTGTAATATTCTCCCCTCCCTCCCTGTAATATTATCCCTCCCTCCCTCCCTCCCTGTAATATTATCTCCCCCCTCCCTGTAATATTATCTCCCCCCCCTCCCTCCCTGTAATATTATCCCCTCCCTGTAATATTATCTCCTCCCTCCCTGTAATATTATCTCCCCCTCCCTCCCTGTAATATTCTCCACTCCCTCCCTGTAATATTCTCCCTCCCTCCCTGTAATATTCTCCCTCCCTCCCTGTAATACTCTCCCCCTCCCTCCCTGTAATACTCTCCCCCCCCCTCCAATCTTCTCCTCACCTCCCCTGTAGCGTGGCCGAGCTCCTCTCCGGTCCGCGACCCGGCCGGACTGACAGGAAGTGCACACCCAGTGTGCACTTCCTGTCAGTCCGGGCGGGTCGCGGACCGGAGAGGAGCTCGGCCACGCTACAGGGAAGGGGAGGTGAGGCACTGTGGCAGCCGTCTGAGTGCTCTCTATAGAGCGCTCAGGCGGCTGAGGCATTTTAAGGGCTCGGCAGGTACCAGCCCTGACTAGGTCTTATTTTCGGGGTAGGGCTTATATTGCAGCCCACCCCGATAATCCAGCTAGGACTTATTTTCGGGGTAGGTCTTATTTTCGGGGAAACACAGTATATATATAAAAAAAATTTCTACATACTTACCTATCTTCATCTCCATATTGCACCTTGGATCTGGTGAGGGTAGGGTCACCCTGCAAATTGACACAAAGCCTGTATACTTAGAGCCAGTTATTAAAAGGCTCTAAAAATGCTGAGCACCCATCTTTTACTTGATTTTTACACCAAAGCTTAAAATACTGCACCCAGAGGTTTCCTGTTTATTTATTCCTTTACCTGTACCATTGAGAGAAATAAAGGAGAGTGAACAACACAAGAAAGGTTTAGTTGCCTACTTTAACCCCTTAGTGACCAGGCCGTTTTTCAAAATTCTTGCCGCTGGGACCAAGGCTCTTTTTACATTTCTGTGGTGTTTGTGTTTAGCTGTAATTTTCCTCTTACTCATTTACTGTACCCACACATATTATATATTGTTTTTCTCGCCATTAAATGGTCTTTGTAAAGATACCATTATTTTCATCATATCATATAATTTACTATAACAAAAATGATAAAATATGATGAAAAAATTGAAAAAAACACACTTTTTCGAACTTTGACCCCCAAAATCTGTTACGCATCTACAACTGCCAAAAAACACCCATGCTAAATAGTTTCTAAATTTTGTCCTGAGTTTAGAAATGCCCAATGTTAGCATGTTCTTAGCTTTTTTTGGAAAGTTATTTCCAAATTTTTTGGAAAGGCTATAAGCACAAGTAGCACTTTGCTATTTCCAAACCAATATTTTTCAAAATGAACGCAAGTTACATTGTAACACTGATATCTGTCAGGAATCCCCGAATAACCCGTCACATGTATATATATTTTAAAAGAAGACAACCTAAGTTATTAAACCTGGGGTATTTTTGAATCTTTTCATGCAGCCATTTTACCACCAATCTATGCCAAATTAAAACAAAATAATAATAATTGTTGATTTTTTTGAGACACATAGCAATTTAAGAATATATGTACTGAGAACTTTAAGGTTTACTGCCAAAGAACACCCCAATATGTGTTCGGCATCATCTCCGGAGTACAGGGATACCACCCATGTGTAGGTGTGTGTCGGGTTCTCTCGGGGCTAAAAGACCTTATTTGGAGAGTTTTCCAACTTGGAATTTATACAGCTGGTCATCATGCACCCATGTCCCATTTTGGACATTTAAGCCGGACAATATAATTTACCCCATCAAACCATATATTTTTGAAAAGTAGACACCCTAGGGTATTTCAAATGGTGGTATTTTAAATGAGTAGCTAATATAGTAGACAGTTGGTTGTTAGAGTAGGACCTGCCAAAGATGGGGTACATTGATGTTGTGGCAGGCTTATGCAATGTATGATCATATAATGTAACTAAACCCCCATTATTTTTTGCCTAGATTAGGTGTTTTTAATAAATATTAAAATCTGTCAGCACCAAAGTAGCTGTTTAGTAGATAAGGGAGTGCGCTGGATTTTCATTTTTACTGTACTTATTGGCCCCCAGCAGCACCCCATTTAAGCATGTTCAGGTGAGTGCAGCCAGCCCCTTGTTTTCCAGTATTTTAACACTTTCCATGCACTAATTCTACCACCAGTCTCTGTCAAACATTTGGGTAGTCATTTTGTTTGTTATTTTTCACACACATTCCACTTTAGGCATGGATTATCAGCTCCTATTAGGTGTTACTGCCAAAGAACACGCCAATATGTGTTCAGCAACATCTCCTGAGTACAGGGATACCACCCATGTACAGGTGTGTCGGGTTCTCTGAGGGCTGAAAGACCTTATTTGGAGGGTGCGCATTCCAGTTTTCCAACTTGGAATTTTCACAGATGTTCATCATGCACCCATGTCCTATTTGGGACATTTTTGAAGTCTGGCAATATCATTTACCCCCATCAAACCATATATTTTTGAAAAGTAGACACCCTAGGGTATTTCAAATGGTGGTATTTTAACACTTTCCATGCACTTATTCTACCACCAGCCTTTGTCAAACTTTTGGATAGTCGTTTTCTTTGTGTTATTTTTCTTTCACATTGTACTTTAGGCATGGATTTTTAGTTCTGTTTATGTGTCAATATGTGTTTGGCAACATCTCCTGAGTACAACAGTGCCCCCAAAGTACAGGTTGTATATGCTTTTGCAAATGTACAGGGGTCATATGTAGAGCTTTTCCATGTTTGCACATTGAAATTTGCCAGATTGGTTTGCTGTGCCTATGTTGCCTTTGAGACCACATAGCAGCCCAGGAATTAAAATTCACCCCATCATGGCATACCATTTGTAAAAGTAGACAACCCAGGGTATTCAAAATGTCCAGTCTTTTGTAGTAGCCACTTAAGCATAAACGCTGACCAAAGTTAGCATTTTCCTTTGTTTTTTCCTTGTTTTTACACAAAAACTGCACTTTTACTGGTGATTTCATTGTCGGAATACGTTTCACTGATTTAGATCACTCATATTTTTGTTCAACGAAGTCTCCCTAGTATAACAATACCCCCCATCTACAGGTTTTATGGTGTTTTGGAAAGTTACAGGGTCAATATAGGGCTTGCCCGATCTAGTTTGCCAGATTGGTTTGCTGGACCTTTGTTGCCTTTTGAGACCATATGGTAGCTCAGGAATGTGAAATAACCCCATCATGGAATACCATTTTCAAATGTAGACAACCCAGGGTATTCAAAATGGGGTATGTCCAGTCTTTTGTAGTAGCCACTTAGGCACAAACGCTGGCCAAACTTTGCCTTTTTCTTTGGTTTTTGCATTTTTTTTTTACACACAAACTGCACTTTTACTAGTGATTTAATCGTCGGAATACGTTTTACTGATTTAGAACACTCCTATTTATGTTCAACGAAGTCTCTCGAGTATACCAATACCCTCCATGTATAGGTTTTATGGTGTTTTTGAAAGTTACAGTGTCAATATAGGGCATGTCTGATTTAGTTTGCCAAATTGGTTTGCTAGACCTTTGTTGCCTTTTGAGACCATATAGTAGCCCAGGAATGTGAAATAACCCCATCATGGCATACCATTTTGAAATGTAGTCAACCCAGGGATTTTAAAATGGGGTATTTCTAGTCTTTTGTTGTAGCCACTTAGTCACAAACGCTTGCCAAAGTTAGCGGTTTTATTGGTTTTTGTATAAATGTTTTGGTTTTTTAATTTATATATATATATATATATATATATACACACACACACACACACACATAATACGTGTGTGTGTGTGTGTGTGTGTGTGTGTGTGTGTATGTATATACACACACACACACATATGTGTATATACACACATACACACACACACACATCAGTTTTTAAGAAGGATATTGCAGAAGTAGAAAAAGCGTAGAAATGAACTACAAAATTAGTAAGGGGGATGGGAAACACTGGAAGGCTAGAAAAACTGAATTTATTTTATTTAGAAAAAAGAGACCTCAGAGGGGATATGATAGCACTATACAAATATATACAAGGTCGGTACAACCCGCTATGTGCTAACCTGTTCATTAGCAGGAATATACAGCAGACAAGATGTCACCCACGGAGACTGAAAGAGCAATTTTCTTTACAGTAAGAACAATAAAGTAAGTCATGTGGAATTCTCTGCCTAATCTTATCAGATTCTATAGATAATTTAATAAAAGGCTTGGATGCTTTCTTGCATAAATACAATAATGAAAGATATAATTGATATGTTGTAACCAGCGGCTGGTTCCCTTATTTACCACTATAACGTCTAAAGCATAGAACTTAGCAGGGCTAACCATACAGATATCTTAGCCATAATTTTATATAGTTAGTAAGAGATCCTCTATTTAACATATATAAATAATTAAGAATACAATATAAAATAAGGATTGTCTTGGAAACAATAAAGTTTTGTCTTTTAGATATTTATTATATGAAAAAATATAAATATAGACATATAAAATCCATTATAGCAGAGTTTATACGATTAAACTAAATGCTTGCAAATATCATTAATAGGTTAACATACCCTTCTGAACATGTCATCATGTCAGCCTCTCTGTCATTTTAAGATGGAGCAGCGTCTGTCTCCAAGTCTCTCCTCCGTTTCTTAACATTTAAAAGTACACCTATTTATACCTTAGGTATCTTCATTATAGGGTCACCGTAGTTCATAAATAAAAAAGTAACACTTCTTTTACTTTATTCATTTTAGGACCTCCCTTAATTTGGCAAAAATACAAGTCCATAAGTAAAGGGTGTATACGTCATGGAAATTTTCCTGACTTAGTTTAAGATGGCATCTTAAAGTCTGAACATTCTTATCTACTTAAGGTTACCACAGTATATTGTGTACTGAAAGAGTTGTAGCATAGCCTTGAAGCTTGTTTATGCATTATTGTTATTGTAATTCGTCTGGGACAAAATAGCGTAAACATAATGTGCACTGAGGTTATTGCTTAGAAACATCTATGAAAACATCTATGAAAAAACAATATGTTCCATTTCTAACACCTTGTCAATTTAAAGACAAAGTACACAGTTTAAGAAATACAACATTTCATTCTAAAACTTGTAATATTTGTATTTGCCCATAACAATGTATGTTAACCGGCTTGTTGATCCAAGGAGAAATCCGATTGATTTTATTGAGTCAAGAAGGATTTATTTTCCATTTATGTGGCCTAATTGGAAATGGCTACAATTGGGGTGGAGGCTTGCTTTTTTTTGGGGGGGGGAGGTGAGTTGGGGGGGAACACCAAGATAAAAAAAATAGGCTTCATGGTTAAACTTGATGGGGTTTTAGTCTATTTTCAACCTGGACAAATATATAACAATCTTAGTTTATGTCAATGCTTTTTTCCTTTTGATTTCTCTTTAACACAATTCTTAATTACATTGATACCAGGAGTATCACACTTTCACATTAGCATTGAGAAACTTTCAGTTATGGAAGATTTTTTGTTTCCTTCATTTCACTTTATTCTCTGTAAGAAGCCTTTGACTGAACCTCGGCACGGCTCCCGTGATGTGAAACTAAGGCACACCGAGCTGCACCGAGAGCATTACCCACCCGGCAGATTTAATTAAGTAAACCTTATTTTAAAACACTTCTAAAGCAAGGGGTGGACACTGAAGAAAAATTCCAATAGTGCTTTATTGACAAAGGTGAAAGAAAAATGGTTGGGGAAACCCTTTGAGACTGATAAACCAATGTTTTGGTTTAATATACACTTTTATTTTCATGCTCCAGATAACTTGTGTTTATTGTGTAAAATGTAACTCCAACATATTACATAGAAACTGTCACTCATATTATGTTACAACCATGTCTCTGACTGCTAGGCTTGTACTATGCATGAACGCTGCCATTCTTACTTCTAGTTGACCAATTAAATCTACATAAACTAGTATGAGACACAACTTGATTTGAGAGTTATTGTTTATTGCCTCTTTTAAGTTTGTACATCTTGTAAGTGAATAATAAAACATAATGGTGTATGTGAAAAAGAAAAAGTAAAATGTAATAAAAAACAAATCAAAGTTATTGCATATTTAAAAAGGAAGCGCTGTTGAGTCCACTGGGGCAACAGGTGGAACATAGGTCTTGACTTCTCCTGGGCACTGAGCAGATGGTGAAGCTTGTTCAGGAAACGGATGAATAAATGACTTGGATGCTTTAGCAGGCCCAGGTGGTGGTGTTTTGTCACCTTTAGGGCCCTTTTCTTTTTCTGGCTTGGATTTGCCAGGATTCTTTTTGTCTTTCTTGTCTTTGGGCTCTTCTTCAGTACCTACATATGTAATTGTGCCTTCCGGTTTTTCAGATTTTGATGGGCGTCTTTTCCCCACTTGAGGGTGATGATGTTCATGGGGGTGGAGATGCTGGTGGTCATGTTCATGACCATCATTTTCATCATGATCATGATCAGATTTCCCTGGTTTCTTCCCTTGTTTTTCTTCCTTCTTACCAGGTTGACGTTTTCCAGCATTTTTCTCAGGTTTTGGATCAGTATGGCCATCTTGATGGTGTTGCTCTTCAACAATAGCATCCTGTAGGTTCAAATAATTGGTATGTATAATTATATGAAGAATAAAAAACTGACATTAGTAAAAGATGTACCTACACAGCTAGTTTTAATGGGGTTATGGAACGTAAGAAAGTCTTAATGCTTAAAATTCAGTTTAATAAGTAATTTCTATGTAATCATGACATAAAACAGCATTTGGAAAGCAACAATTAAACTTGATGAAATAGCATTAGCAGTATTAGCATTACAGTGAATGTAGATAGATCGAGAGACCACTTAAATGGGTTAGTTTTTCCATTTTATCTTTTTTTCTTTAAAAAATAATGATTTATTCCATACCTCTGGCTCAAATACTTTGCAGGTCACTGACAAATATGGATCATTTGGTCTGCTCCAATGTTCTAATGCCCGGCCTTTGCAGTAGCCAGTGTGCTAGGGAACAAAAATTCATATTATTCTTAAAAAAAGTTCTGGATTGAAAATCGTTATTTAATTTATTGATTCCTCAACAAAATGGAATTTACTGTACCTTTACTGCCAGTTTAAAGGCACAATCCACTGTCCAAATAGAAAAATAGATAAACAAAAATAACTGTTTATTAGACATAACCCAGTTTTGTATTCCTAAAACTATAGTGTTCCTTTAAAATTATATTTATTTATCCCCTATATTTAACAAATGTATTCTTGTTAAATATGATAGATATACAATTTAATGGAGAAATCCACATCTCTTTATCCTTCCAGTGGGCGCCTCCATCTTAGCTTATTGTGGGTCATTATTATAAGCTCTGCGCTTTGCACATTCAGTGCCGAAAAACATTTCATACAATGAAGTGAAGAAATGGAACAATGTTTTCATCTCACCTCCTTATTTGCACTGTATGCCGTGGCGGAGTCTGGAATGAACTGAATTATGATATAATTTGCCAATCTTTAATATAAATTTAAAAGCCATGTTATGGAAACCATGTTAAAGGATCAGATTGTTGAACATCTAAAAACACATGGATTTCAAGATATGAGACAACACGGGTTTACTTCAGGGAGATCATGCCAAACTAATCTTATTGATTTTTTTGATTGGGTAACTAAAATAATAGATCAGGGTGGTGCAGTAGACATTGCTTACCTAGATTTCAGTAGGGCTTTTGACACTGTTGCACATAGGAGGCTTATCAATAAACTTCAATCTTTAAGTTTTGGATCCACTATTGTTAAATGGGTAAGGCAGTGGCTGAGTGAAAGGCAACAGAGGGTTGTAGTTAATGGAATATATTCGAAGCTTGGGCTTGTCATCAGTTGGGTACATCAGAGATCTGTACTTGGACCCATTCTCTTTAATGTTTGTATTACTGATATTGCAGAAGGTCTTGATGGTAAGGTATGCCTTTTTGCTGATGATACTAAGATATGTAACAGGGTTGATGTTCCAGGAGGGATAAGCCAAATGGCAAATGATTTAGGTAAACAAGAAAAATGGTCAAAGTTGTGGCAACTTTAAGTGGATAAGTGCAAGATAATGCATCTTGGATGTAAAAACCCAAGGGCAGAGTACAGAATATTTGATAGAGTCCTAACCTCAACATCTGAGGAAAGGGATTTAGGGGTGATTATTTCTGATGACTTAAAGGTAGGCAATGTAAAACTTACAAGGAAAGGTTAAAGGAACTTAACATGTATAGCTTGGAGGAAAGACGAGACGGGGGGGATATGATAGAAACATTTAAATACATAAAGGGAATCAGCACAGTAAAGGAGGAGACTATATTTCAAAAAAGAAAAACTACTACAACTACTACAAATTAGAGGGGCAAAGGTTTAAAAAAAATATCAGGAAGTATTACTTTACTGATAGGGTAGTGGATGCATGGAATAGCCTTCCAGCTGAAGTGGTAGAGGTTAACACAGTAAAGGAGTTTAAGCATGCGTGGGATAGGCATAAGGCTATCCTAACTATACGATAAGGCCAAGGACTAATGAAAGTATTTTTAAAAAATTGGGCAGACTAGATGGGCCGAATGGTTCTTATCTGCCGTCACATTCTATGTTTCTATGTAACAAAGCAACACCTGGGGAAAAAAATGTTAAAGGAACATTCTAGATGCATAAAGTACTTCAGCTTTCAGGAGTCTGTATTTTTTTCCTAAATATAGCAAAACTATTACATACCAAAGAATTGCACAAGAGAAATACAAAGTATGTGATCGTAGATATGTGATTATAGATACAATATAAATAAAGTGCTAACATAAAGTGCTTAACAATACAATACACATACCTACAATAGTCCACTAGTAAAGTCTACATGCATCAACTCATAACTGTATTTTCAAGTATACTGACCAAGAGCTGGAGACCACAAAGCCCCAACATTTTGGGTACTCGTCTTCCTCAAGGAATCTCAAAGATTATGGTCATAGTTCCTGTTTTATACCTCCTCTAAAAGTGCATCCCATAATAAACAATTAAAAACCTGTATTGCTAAGCACTTTATATGTTAGCACTTTATTTCTGTTGTATCTATGATCACATACTTTGTGAATAAAGTTTCTCTTGTGCAATACTTTGGTGTACTATGGGTTTCTTATATTTGGTTTCTGGGAGCTCAGAGGATAGTTGGAGGACACCTCACCACGTCTACATGCTGTCTTCTTATGCTTAGTTGAGTTATACGAGACAATGTTTATTTGAAATATAAATAAATGATACTTACTGCAAATTCACAATCTAAGGGTGAGCAGAGAGCCAGGTTTTCAGTCGATACTGATTTGTTGCAGGATGTTTCTTGAATTGTAAACTCAACATGATATGCAATTCCAGCAATCACCTTTAAATCACAGAGAAAAACACAAGGTCAATTCACTTAAAGGAATTACGTGTATGTTTTCAGTGGTCATTAAAGAGTTCCATACTCCAAACGATTCAATGCATTACTTAATATGACTTACCAACTTAATCATTCATCATACTCTTTTATATTAACATTGACCACAAATATATAATGCCAGGGCTTAAAAATCTCAGGTAAAATTACTAAGGCTTCTAAAAACAGTATTATTATTGGTATCTAATGATGTGGTATTTAAAAACTAAGTTTCCCTTATTACTGGCTCCATTCATCAAACGTTTACCAAGTATTTACAAACTTGAGCAGAACGTCAGAGATGTTTGCAACTACATAAACATTGTTAGGTATGCCATATACCAGGGGTAGGCAACCTTCGGCACTCCAGATGTTTTGGACTGCATCACCCATAATGCTCTTACAGCCATAACATTTGCGAAGCATCAAGGTAGATGTAGCCCACAACACAGATGTAGTGCTGAAGGTTCCCTGCTTTAAAAAAAAACACTCCAGGTACCATAACAACTTAATTAAGATAAAGTCTGACAATTCCAACTTTAGTGCATAACCCATAACAATAAAATAACAATCTTTTCTGTTAGAGAATTCAACCAAATTCCTGATTTTCCTGGAAACACATGTGCATTCCTACCTGAGCTGTGGCTTTTGTGATATTACCAATTGCAAAATATTTGTTGTAGTTGCTTTTCGTGTTAAATTTCTCAATGGCCTTGTTTGCAATATCCTGAAACCTAGAGTCATTCAAAGCAATAGGTGCAGGACAGCCAGGGCACCCTCCAGAACCTCGAGCAACTAGATTTCACAGGAAAAAAGTAGATAACAATGAAACATAATACACTGATCACAGTTAATAATGGCACTTACCAATTTTCACTACCAAGTCATTTTAATTAAAATTAGCATCTTGAAAAAATATAGCCTACAAATAAACCATGTAGTTGTCAGATCTGAACCTTCACATCTCTTATTGGTTGCTAGATTGCAGCCTTAAATCTTGACCTACAAAACTTTCTATGAAGTGTGCAAGAATGAAGAGGCCTGCCAATTACAGTTCCTCTGGAGAAGCGATACATTATAAAGGCATTAATTTAATATTGTTGGATACGCCTTCCAAATTATTTAATATGTTTGGATAAACGTTTAAAAAATAGTTTTTCAAAATATTAAAATCTGAAAAAATATATCATATATTTAAAAAAAAATGTCAGCATATCAAAATATTATAAAATATAATCCAACGATATTAAATTAAGGCCAAAGTGTCTGGCTATGTGTTTATGAGATAGGGACAGGAGTCTGACCAATAAACAGAATTAGCATCTGTGATATGTATAAAATGTAACATTTACAAAATGATTACTCATTAAAAGCATATTCTGGAGTAGTAGGATACTAAAAGTGAATCATACAAATGTAAATGTAATGGGATACTGTAAGCGCAAAAATAAAATAATGAAAAACGATTGCTATGGCTGCATAAATAAAATTATTTAATTCCTAAATTACAGAGAGATAAGCACTGAGACTGCAGGGGCATGATCTATACACCAAAACTGCTTTATCATGCTAAAGTTGTTTAAGTATGAAGACTGTCCTTTTTTTAAATACAAAATTGAAATTTGTGAAGCCATTCTGCCATCTTCACACACTTCCGTGAGAAAGACAAAAGAACCACACATAGGTACAAAGATCTCAAATATAGGTGGGCTGTTTATTAAGAGTTATCTCTTCCTTTGCTAAACCACCAGGCTTTGTGAATCTATACATCCACCTACTACCGGCCGGTGCAAGGACTTCTGTCTGCACAGGCGAAGACACATTTTGCTCCCCCCAAAATTTGTCTTAACCTGTCTGTCTAATATTCTCCCTTTTGACCCTCTTACCCATTCTTTTGCCCCTTTTGTGCACCTTTTTCTTTCTTGTTTTCCTTTTTTTGTATATTGTATCCCGGTATTTAAACATGTCCGGATAAGGGGGAGCATACCCAATAGTTGTTGTGCAGTTCTATCCTGTATTATTATTATTTGAAACCCTGTATTACTTATAAGTAGCGTTTTGTAACTTATTTGTAATTGTTTATATATATTGCTCTGGGAAGGGGATACGCTATTTAATAGAAATTCCTGAGAGACCAGGAAATATACAATAAGTGATACGTGAGTGTACTGGTTAAATTGCAGACATATTGGCCCAGAACCTTTAATCGAGCCGGAAAAGAGGCTGCTGTATGTTTGCTCCTCTATAATTTTGCGGGGGCGGTCACCCCCATGCGGAAAGCCACTGCCATCACAGGGTGGTTAGTTGTGCAGGCCCTTAGCCGCGAGGTGCAAGCATGTCCGTGGAAAGGCTAGAAATTAATAGGGAGTCACTCATAGCTGTCAGAAGTGTTGAACTTTGAGACATATTGACCTATATCCTTTCAGAGGCGGAAGAGGTGTTGTGGTTCACTCCTCTATAATTTAACCAAAGGGTGGAAAGTTATTAAACATGTTTAAGTTGGCTAGAAATTTGTTACTCATAAGTCCATTTGAAATCCTGTATTGCTTAAAAGTTTCTGTCAGTTTTATATTGCCCTGGGAAGGGGATTAGCTATTGTATATCCCTGAGAGACCAGGAAATATAAAATAAGTAATAAGTGGGTGTATTGTGTATCTGCCTAGCGGGTGAACTGCCATAACGTGGGCTGTAAACTTAGTTACAGTAGCGGGTGTGGAACTTAGGCTAGGGGGTACTGAGCATATCTGCCTAGCGGGTGAACTGCCATAACGTGGGCTGTAAACTTAGTTACAGTAGCGGGTGGGGAACTTAGGCTAGGGGGTACTGAGCATATCTGCCTAGCGGGTGAACTGCCATAACGTGGGCTGTAAACTTAGTTACAGTAGCGGGTGGGGAATTTAGGCTAGGGGGTACTGAGCATTGGACTTTTAGTGTTGTGTACTGCTGAATTGCAAGGAAGATGCAGAAAGCAGCTATTAGCTGATTAAACAAAATTAAGAAAGTTACCTTGTTGAACAAATTGTTTATAAAATGAAAAGCTGAAGGAATGTGTTTACATGTCTGTGTGTGTATATATATATATTCTAAGTAAAATATTTGCAGTATACGCTATAAGTGACTAGGAAAGTAATCCTGATCTGTTTCCTAACCTTTTCAGATGTAGCAGAAACCAGAGGTGGACATTGGAACACAGATAGAATATCAGATGGAGACCAGTGTTTAAATGTTGACCTTTGATGAGCTATTGAATGTTTTATTTTATTGTCTATTTAACATGTCCATGCTATGATTTTGTGCATACTATTCTCTTATTTCTAGTGATTGTATTGCAATTGAAACCCTTATGTATTATTGTTGTATGTATGTATGCTTGCCTGGGAAAGGGGGGAATTGACCCATAGGGACCAGGGGGTATTTTTGTGTAAACCAAACTGGGGTGGGAGGGCTCTAACGAGGGAACCCCATTGTCCAGTAGGTGCTTGATTTGTGTCTGTGTAAAGTGCATGAGTGGTTGCAGTTAAAAAAAAAAAAAACAAAAAAAAAACGGAAGAATGATAAGAGGGATAAGAGAAAGTAGGCATTTTGGGTTATCTATACATGTTTAAATAGAAGGGTGGTAAATAGGAATGTAATTGTTTTGGTTAATGTTTAGATTAAATTGGTTAAATACAGCAGTGATAACGAGTGTTTAGATTAAATTGGTAAATGCAGCAGTAATAACGAGTGTTTGGGTTAAATTGGTAGATACAGCAGTGATATTGTGTTTATCTGTGAATCAGGAGTGTGCTGGATGTGAAGAGAGGTGTGTAGGTATTTATCCAAACGCCATAGGAAAAAATATGGTTAAGACACCACAGTCAAATGGTACTTGTGATGATTGGCACAGTTATTATTTATGTTTGTGTTCGTCATTGCCTGTGTTTTCATTCAAGAACTTTCAAGCAAGGATATTTTAAGCTGAAGAAGAAGAAGCACTGGACACTATGCTCAATTGTTGCTGTAAGGAGAAAAAATATTGCAGCTAAGAGTGGTGAGAGTCGGAACAAATGCATCAGGAGCAGGACACTGTTACGTCAAGGTGGTTAATGGTATAAAGAAAGAAGAAACAAAACAATGTGACCACAAACACACAAAAGTCCTTGATCATGAACTGTTTCATTCATCCCTGTCTCCATGCTTATGTTCTATGAGACTGTCGAAGAACAGAGTATCCAGTTTCCAGGACTAATGTTTGTGAAAATTCCAGGCACACTGACCAGTCAGAGGCTACAGAAATCGAGTCGGTCTGTGCCATGATTCATAGGTGTTATGCGTTTGTGGTGTCTAATACTATATTAAGCTCCAAAACACATCCTCACATGAACACAATATCATTGGTTAATCTAATAAAACATGGTTTGAGTTGTCTATTATTACAAGGGTGGGTATTTGCCTATTTAAGGCCAAGGTTTCCCAAATGCTAATGCATGTGCTCAGTGGTTATTATAAGGGTGGGTATGTGCTTATTTTAGGCCAAGGTTTCCCAACTGGTGATGCATGTGCTCAATGAAAAAAAAAAAAATTGAATAAGCAATAAAGTGTCATAACTTTACGGGTAAATGGGTATCATTCTTCAAAAGGTGGGTTTTGTTGTAGGGCAGGTACTGTTAAAATAGGGTAGATTCAAGATGTACGGGTTTATAATGTTTGTTTTATGACATAAGTCAAAGGGTGGTTTGTAATGGTATTTATAATTAATGACTTTTTGTCATAAAAAAAAGCATAATGAGCTTAATGCTTTAGAGGCACCACTAGGGGTCAGTGTGCTAACTCATGTGCTTCTGGCAGTGACATCACAGGCCAGCCTACTTACTGGATAAAACCAAATAGTAGAAGGATTTTGAGCCTCCTTTTTCCTTTGCTTGCATTTGATTGAACATGTAGCTGTGTGTATAGCTCCAGCCAAACAGGCTGGAGCCGTGTAAGTAATCTATTATAACAGCTAGCAACTGTTATAGCCTTTTGTAAGTAATGTTGTAGTTTTGTATTGTGTAATTATTGTGGTAAATTGACATTCTGCTAGCATTTGTTTAATTGTTATTATAATTATATTAAATATACATTTAATACTACAATGTTTTGTGTATTTCCTATTATATATTCGACCATAATACCGAACTCCATTAATGTTGTTATTTGTTGCTTAATTATTATATATTAATTATTAAGTTGATATTCATATTTAAGTCACGACTATAACACCCCTGTTTGGCATTCTTTTCATGTTTTTGTGTCTACATCCTAATGTTGTGGTCTCTTTAACCCCTTGTGTCACACGCTCATTCACTGGCTCTTACACACACACACACACACAGTCTCTTACACACAAACTACTTATACACACACACTGCCTATACATAAACACACACTGGCTATTACACACTCACTGCTTATACACACACACACACACACACACACTGGCTCTTACACACACACTGACTCTTACAAACACTGCTTATACACACACACACACACACACTGGCTTTAACACACACACTAACTCTTACACACACACTGCTTATACACACAGAGCAACCCACAGCAGTTTTCATCACTGCTCCTGCCCTTGGCCTGTACCTGGCCAGCCCGGTCTCCTGTGGACACCAGGAAACCCACCCACGCTGCTAGATATACACAGGACTTCCCCTTCATACAAATAATCCAAACATAATCCAACACACAAACACACAGTCCACTCAAACACTACTGACAATGTACAGACATGCACACAAGCAGCCTCTCACATGCAATACTATAAATAGCCCAATGCATACACACACCACCAAAAACAATGTGAAACATCCAGAAACACAATTCCTTAAGCAGCCCACATACACAGCCTACATTCATAGGTCTTATACACAAAAACCACACACTACTCGTGAACATATACAATATAACAGCCCATATATGCACAAATACAAAGTTACAATGCAACTGCAAGACCCATAAATAACACAAGCATAATACATCAACATACACACCTCAATTTAAAAAAAAAAGCCAGGAACATATGGGACTTTAAGATTGTTTTTGGCACAGTAATACTAAAAGGTTGCCTACCCCTGTTCTAGAGCAAGGGGTTCCCAACCCAGTCCTCAAGTACCCCCTACCAGTCGAGGATTTAGGGATTACACTGTTGTGTCTAAAGTGTGTGTTTTTTTTCCTTTCTAAAAACACCTTAGACACAACTGTGTAATACCTAAATCCTGTACTGTTATGGGGTACTTGAGGACTGGGCTGGGAACCAACGTTCTCGAGCATTTTCAGGTACTTCTCACACACCTTACTTTGTGAGTAGGTTGATGTATAGATTCACACGGTTTGGTGGTTTATCACAAGGGAGCAGAGGAAGAGATAACTCTTAAAAAGGCCCGTCTTTGTTTAAGATCTTTGTACCTATGTGTGGTTCTTCAGTTTTCTTCACGGAAAAGATGGCAGAATAGCTTCACAAATTTATATTTTGTATTCTTAAAGGGAGAGTCTTAGTAACAAAACACCTGTAGCTTAATGAAGCAGTTTTGGTGTATAGATCATGTCCCTGCAGTCTCAGTGCCCATGTCTGTTATTTAGGAATTAAATAATTTTCTTCATGCAGCCATAGCAATAGGTTTTTCATGGTTTTTGTTTTTTTTGTGCTTAGCATATCCCTATACATTTACATTTAAGTCATATTTTTTACTATCCTTCTGCCCCAGAATATATACTTTGAATCAGTAATCACCTTCTTTTCTACCCTACCCTTACCTTTTGTGTCACTATACCCCACTCCCTCTAGCATGTAAGCTCATTGAGCAGGGCCCTCAACCCCTCTGTTCCTGTGTGTCCAACTTGTCTGGCTACAAATATGTGTCTGTTAGTCCACCCATTGTACAGCGCTACGGAACTTGTTGGCGCTTTATAAATAATAATAATAAAAATAATACAAATTATGTATATGTTTCCCTCGGGTAGGCTTACACAATTCTGCCATTATAAATGCTTATCTGAGCCCTATTATATAAAAACAAATTTAATTGTTGGTATAGGAGAAGCAAAAACACTCATTTGTTACCAAGTCATATGTGGAACTCTGTAGAATACCCTTTGTGTAGTTTGAAACATTTTAGATTTCATTACATACCTGGTGTCAGGGTACAGTCATAGTTGTATAATTGAGCTATTCTCTGTGGTTTGTTAAGATGGAAAATAATTTTGCATTGTCCAAATGCCTTGAAAAACATAAAAAAAATACAATGAAACTCACATGGGAATGTACAAGTATTGCATGATTAATGTTAACAACAATTGGGGGATGGGGTGATATACTTGCTTTAAAGAAACAAAGCTGCATTCCTAACACTCTTTTGCCTCCCCCCCAACCTTAAATAAACCTTTAAAGACTCAACTGGTTCCAGCACCGAGGTCACTCTGCACCACTTGAGGACACCCAGCATTAATTCATGGAGTTAAACTCAGTGAAACAGAAGGAAGTGCCTCTTGTGACTGTCTAGTAGACATCCACTAGACAATGGCAATGCAAATGTTTTGCAGTGCAGGGTTAAGAGGACTGGGATATTGCACAGACTTCAATGAGATGAGGTGTATGGTTATCTATAGCGTCCCTTTAAAGGGTTTATCAACTACAAAATAATAGTTGTTTTATACATTGATTTACAATTTTTATACCGCATAATGAAACATTAGCGCGTGAAGGTGGTCAAGTCAGAATTCGATGCTATCTAGTTATACCCAGGAATGGATACTGCAAACTTTTACAAGATATAAAAAACATAATCTGGGAGTTTCAGTTAAACGTACAGATTGATTGCGAGCTTTAGGTGCACAGTCTTTCCAGTCTTTTCGACTCAGTACATGGCATTCTGTCTCCAACACTTCCACGGTCAGGTAATACACAAAACCAGTCTCCTCCTGCAGGAACATTTACAGGATTTTCATTATTATATTTAATTAAATACACTCCATCACTAACACAGGTCAGATATGGCACTTGCATATTAATGTCTGCTTTTAGTTTATTGAACATTGGAATAACGTGGTAAGGTTCAAAGTTGTAAACATTTTACATTTTATACATATTGAAATTTAGAACATGGGGTAAGATTTGAACATTGGAACAATGGAGTAAGCAGTAATCATTTTGTAAATGAACCAATTATAACTGGAAAATAAAGGCTGGCTACATACTGCCTGGAAACTACCAACTGGAATTTAAAGGGTCAACTTTTAGAATTGTTTTCACTTTAAATGTTAAAATTCAGCAGGATTCATTCATTAGCTAAAACCTAGACTTGTGCACAGTAAGAAAATGCAGCTTGACCGGAATCATTTTTCATAAAAATAGAAATGTTTTTGGAACTCTTAAATTTCAGCCATATGTTAAATGGCTGAAATGTTATAAAAACTAACTAATAGAAGGAAAAATAAAAGAAGCAGTAAAAATAAATCTATATTTATGTTTTATATCTTTATTAAATATTTAAATATAGAATTATTATTTTTTTTTAATGATCTTTCTTTTTTCTTACTGTTGCTCACTTTTCACTTGATCTGTGAATAAAATCAACATTTAGTGACTGTCCCCTTGCAGTCAATCAACTTTTTCTCCTATCAATCACCTTTTTTTTTGTGCCACAGGCAGACACAGAATCACAAATCAAAACAAACAAGCTTGGCCATTGTCTGTTTTGGTTGGTTCATGATTCAGTTACATTTTGGTTCGGAGTTCAGGAATTTGACCTGATTGACCCAAATTTCAGGTGGATTGCCGTTTAGACCGAAATTAATCTCCAAGTCTACTAAAGCCGCTTCTGCTCCTCTTTTAATGAAAAGTAACCCTACTACTCACTCCAGGTGGCAACTAATAGAAAATGTAAAAAATGAAGCATATGGCTCTCAGATTTAGGTCACACAAGAGTATACCATTAGCTTTTGAAATGATATAGAATCATCCACCCAAACTCTGGAATGATCTAGACTGGAATAGACAACCTTCAGTACTCCAGATGTTTTGGACTACAACTCCCCTGATGCTTTCCAGCATTATGGCTGTAAGAGCGTCATGGGAGATGTAGTTCACAACATCTGGAGTGCTGAAGGTTGTCTAACCATGAGAAAGACAGTTGATCCCATGGGGGACCAGGTACAGTTTTAGAGGCACTAATGGAGGAGGAATTGGGGGATGAATTATCTAGTTTAAGTTTGCTTTGATTCTTAGAAGTCTATGGTTTTCGTGTTGTTTTTTTGTACGTGTATTCACACATCTCAATAAAACATTTAATATGGAGATTTGGAGGCATTGTTAGTGAATATGGTATTAAGCAGAAACCATAGCTTTAATGTGAGATAATACCCATTTCTGATTTCTCTCTTTATAGTGTGCTCTGTCTGAGATAGATCCCACTAATGCCAGGAAGGTAAAATAATTTGCTTGGGGATTAACAGATCAAAGGAACCACTTATCTAACTATGGGCCTCTTGGCATCCTTTCTTTATTTTCAGTGCATGAAAAATATTTGTGGAAAATAAGGGCTGCTAATTTATAAGATTAATGGACATCTTTCAGTGCACTTTCACTGTCTGACGCATACTATATGATGTACACTCTCAGATACATACCATATGATGCACACTCCCAGATACATACCATATGATGCACACTCTCAGGTACATACCATATGCTGCACACTCTCAGGTATATACCATATGATGCAAACTCTCAGGTATATGCCATATAATGCACACTCTCAGATACATACCATATGATACACACTCCCAGATACATACCATATGATACACACTCCCAGATACATACCATATGATGCACACTCTCAGATACATACCATATGATGCACACTCTCAGATACATACCATATGATACACACTCCCAGACACATGCCAAATGATACACGCTCCCAGACACATGCCAAATGATACACGCTCCTAGAGATGCACTGTAAGATGAACATGTGCTGTGCATAGAACTGTGCTGCTAAATCCCTGTGCTATTACATTCAAACAAAGTACAGGGCTTGGATAAATCTGTGAATTTCCCAAGCCAACAAAAGGGGGGGCATTGAAATAAATGTTTTCAGAGAGCTTTGTAAAGTGGGTAAATGGCAGAGTAATAACAAGTTTAGAATATAATCGAGAGACTGGAGGGTTTGTACATATGCTTTTGGACTGAAAGCTACAAAAGAAACTGGGAGAAGACTAAAAGGGGTTTTGAAGGACTGGTTGGGTGTTTGGAAAGTCCAGATGATGGAAAAAGATATAATGTATCAAAAGGATTAAAAGATATAAATAAATGGAAATTAATTAATAAATGAGGAAAAATATGGAAATCGGTTTACAAAGAAAAGAACTCCACAAAGCTATATAAACCAGGGATATGACTGATGAGCGAGAGATATGGGGAACACTTAACTAATGGATGAGAAATATAGGAAAAGAGTACATAGTAAAGAGTGAATTAGGGCTAGAGGATGAGAGATAAATCATTAATGTGGTTCAGGGATAGAGAAATTGAGAAATGTGGAAAATGAAGAAGAGAAATGTTATTAAAAGTGACCATTAGTGAGAAATGAGAAGAACTGAACATGTATGAGAGAGAAATTTAAATGCACAGATTTAGGTGTAGTGTGAAAAATTATAGATGAATCTTGAATGACTTATAAAGAAAAAAATGGGAGTACATTGAGCTTGAGAGTGGGTGAAATGGGAAAAATTCTACTAAGAAGCAGGATTGTAACAGTAACCTGGGTTTATTAATGAAGGATTGGCAAATGGACTACAACATTTAAACCAAAAATACTGTCCCAAAGAAGAAACTTAGATGAAAGGTAAAAAAAAAAACTGGCAATTTTGATCCAACATTTGCAATTCCAAATCCTTTTCAATTCTCTCTTTTGTTGACTTATTCCAAAATGTTTGTTTTTTCTAAATGTATAAGTTCTGTTGTCAATTAATCACTAATCACTAAATTAACAAATAAAATATTTATTTATTACAAATGAATGATTTTGCACAGGCAATAATTTTAACAGCTAATTTTGCTAAACAGCTAATATAGCATCAATTTATGGAAAAATGTGCTAGAGAAAATTATTAATTTACTTACGTTTCTTAAAGTCCTAACTATTGGCCATTCTAGGAACTATACACTTTACTTATAATAAACCTAAACCTAATTTTTAGAAAGTTATTTTTAATTTGCACCCCCCTTCTAGAGCATATATCTAGAGCATATATCTAGATAAATTTTTGTTGTTGTTGTAAGATTACAACAAATTATAAAAACATTGTAATAAGGGTTGGAAATATATACATTTCTTAAACTGTTTTGTCAAACTGGTTGGTTGAACATCATATCTTATTAACCCATTATAAAGAGCTACAGAAGATGTTTGCACATAATAATAATAATAATAATAATAATAATAATATACCTCATATTGTTCTTGCACATTGACAATCCTCTTCAGTCCAAACACAGCACCCTGTCTGCGGTTGGCATTTAGCTGACTCAGGGACAAATCCGCAGCTGCTTCTGCTCCAGGGTCATTGCAAGGAAGGGCTGTAAACTTAGACACATGGGTTTGTTTTTTGGCAGCTCTAGAGCCGAGTACCTGAATGCACACTAGTAATAAAATTGTGAGCTTCATCCTTCTAAGAAGAAGGGTATGGAATATGAAGCTTATTGTCCTGTTATAACCGTCAATTCCCTTCTTAGAGGACATTGCAAAGGTTTGAATGTAAACTCCCTTATATACATTGTTGCTCTTTGAACTTTTAACCCTTTGCAAACATCACAAAACAAATAATCAATGCTCAGGAAAATATTTAACTGTACTGCGAAGTCAGGAAGAATCCTTAAGAGAACGATCAATGGGTCTGGTTCATATTCAGACAAATTTGCCTTGACCTGCATAGTTGTAATGTGTGGTAATTTCACCCCCCTCAAAGTGTGAACTCAAAGTCAAAGTAGGGAATTATAAAACATAATGTTATCTTTTTTGGCAAACACATGCATTTGAAGTGATAATTTGTAATCTTTGTTATTCAACCACACAAATATTTTTGTATTCTACATCTGTCCGGAAACACCATCACATTTCCACCAGGTTTAACTGTAACTTTTGACACATAAGGCATTGAACTCTTTTTTGTATTTAATATATGTATAGAGTCCCACAAGGGGAAACTAACATCAGGAGAGCTCCACTGTATTAGAAATGATGAGGAATGGGGGCCCTACCTTTAATCAATCTAAGGATAAAAAGGGATATGCAAACAAAAAGTATAACTTGGAAAAAAAGGGGAGATCTACTAAACAGTGCCCAGGGGGTCAATTGTCTGGAGTACTCGCTAGCATCTAAGTTCCAGTTCCCCTAGTGTCCGACTGACGGGAAGGTAGTGTAAACGAGGTTAGGGAGAGAGAACAGGCACAGGGTCCCCAGAGAACAAGGGACCAGGTAATCTGGTCAAAACGCCGACCGTGGTATGTATGCCGTTGACATCACCCATCCGAAAGATTTATAGTCAGTGTCACATACTTAAGCTCTATTAAATAATTAAAATGTGCTTAAATTATCCATATGCCGAGGGCGGAGCCAAACGGCTAAACAAGCAAGATGCAGTCTACATGGGCTCTGTACATTGGGCAGCAAAAAACAACAAATAAAGTGAACCCCGAGTGGAAATGGCAGTAAACACTCCCCAGACCAAAATGGGGTGCAAAACAAAAAAACCCAGGGCAGACAAATCTGGACCGAGCACGCATATCGGACACCTGGGCGAGTACGGAATAAACTGGTCTGTCAGCTGTTCTGTGCCAGAGGGATACTGGGGCGTCTCTCACAGTTGCTGTGGTTGTGGCTTGTGCTGAGGCTATGTGTAAATTAAGAGTCCTGACCGTCCCCCGTGGACATCTTGGTTGTCCGGTGTGCCCTAGTTTATGAAAAAGGGGGGGGAAGTCCTGTCTATGGTTGCGTGCGCTGGGTATCTATCCATAATTAAGTAGTATGGTGTCGAGATTATGAGTAAGCGCGTATTGTGTGGGTTCAGCAAGAATGAACTTGAATAAACAGAATAAACTTAATAAAACAAAATTAAACCTATGTAGCCATTAAGTCCGTGATGATTATCCCTGTTGTGGGGTTTGAGAGCAGGGGGCGCAGGGGGCGATTGTCTCAAGTGGTTGCTGAGGATAGGAGTCCGAGAGGGCCCTCCGTGGCATGAACGGCTGGATGCTCGCTGGATCCCATCTGGGTATGTTTGCCATTCTGGGATTTCCCGGGTGTAGTGCAGTATCTTGAGATAGCCCCAATGTTCCCATAAGGGTATTCACTTCTTGCAGGTCGTGCAACGTGTGGGTGGTCTCTCCTTGCTGGATCTGTAGGGACCTTGGTGAGTGCCAGCGGTATTGCAGGCTGTGGGCCCGTAGTAGGGTTGTGAAGATTTTAGGCTATGCCAGGATTTCTCCAGAGAGGTCCTGATAAAATGTGAGTGCCATATTTTCAAACGTGAATGGGGCTTTACCCTTCAGTGCGGCCTGGACCACCTGCTTCTCGGACTCCTATACTGCAGCCACCACTTGAGACAAGCACCCCCTGTGCCCCCTGCTCTCAAACCCCACAACGGGGATAATCATCACGGACTTAATGGCTACATAGGTTTAATTTTGTTTTATTAAGTTTATTCTGTTTATTCAAGTTTATTCTTGCTGAACCCACACAATACGCGCTTACTCATAATCTCAACACCATACTACTTAATTATGGATAGATACCCAGCGCACGCGACCATAGATAGGACCTTCCCCATCTTTTTCATAAACCAGGGCACACCACACAACCAAGATGTCCACGGGGCCGGTCAGAACTCTTAATCTTACACATAGCCTCAGCACACGCCACAACCACAGCGACTGTGAGAGACTCCCCAGTATCCCTCTGGCACAGAACAGCCGACACACCAGTTTATTCTGAAAGGGTCTAACCCTTCACCACCCGCCTCTCATTCATCCCGCCTGTAGCAGCCCCGACTCTCTCTATATTTTCACCGGGCCAATCTCCACACCGCAATGGGTCCATAACACAGCAGCCACAGCTCCAATGCAGGGCGCAGCAGATCGACTCTCCAGGGGAAAAACGCGCCCAAAGATAGTACCTAAGTTGTAGTCAATCCAAGTGCATCCAACCACCTCATATGCCCATGATGTAAGATCACACACACACACTGAGCTTTCTCATTATTTCTACATGTCTCTTAAATCTAATGCACATGCTCACTATAGGACCTTACAGATTGATGTACCACACACAAAAACTACAAAAATGAGGCAAATGGTTATAAGAGCATATACCCTTTTTGATTGCATTCTTTGTTTATGAACCAAAGTTCCCACTGTTTATTGGGATGTTGTGCACATCTTAAATGCCTTGAAAAAATATAGAATTAAAAAAACATATATATCCATATGCCCAGTATGCTTAACCGCTACAGCAGTCCTATTTTCAAGTCATTTATAGAGACACCATGTGCATTCGGATGTCTCACCGGGAGGTGTAGTTTCCAATTCAGACCTCCAGGTGACTGCACGTTTTTTCAGAATACATTTCAAAATCTGGGTGCGGAAGCATGGAGATCCAAGCACTTGTTCTTTGCATTGGTTTTTGAACTCCAAATTGTAGTAAATCCCTCTGCAATCATAGCTTGACTATTTTAGTTATGTTCTTCATTATGCGTGGGATCTAGGTAACAATACAACTGAAATTGTCAAGATAATAGACTTGATTTAGTGATTTTCTATCTCTTTTTAAAATTAGTTGTATTCCAATCACACTACAGTAGTTTATAGTTGCAGGGTTATTCACAAAACTCCAAACTGCATCAAATTAAAATCCGAATCTCCAAATTAAGATATAAATAGCCTAGTTATAAATATTCTTAATGACATAGTTATATAAGCTGAAAAAAGACTTGTGTCCATCAAGATCAGCCTTTCCCTGTCTCTGCTGCTGATCCTAAATACAGCAAAAAAACTAACTGACTGCAATCTTTTCCATTTTGCTATCATGGATAAGGGGAACAAAAGTTATATTAAGTAAAGAAAAAAAGGGGGGAGGATGTATCCAAAAATAAAAGGAAAAAGTCAGGAGGCAATTGAGCCACCCACTCACTCCTTCTACCTCCACAATAACAAAGCTTTCTCACACATCCATTCAGTGTAGGAAAAGACAGTGACCTATCAAGTTCTTTCAACTGCATCTGTGGAGGAAAGAGGCACTGTAAGACGCAGGAAGGGCAAAACAACTACAATAAATTGCATTTGGAAAAAGTTGGAGCAGCAGCAGGAGTAATTTAATTAATTAATAAACATTTTTAATGAAGTGACCTGTCCTAAATTGGCATTACTGTGGTTCAACGTTTCTGTCACGTTCCTAAATGGAATAAGACCTGACACTAGCTGTCCTGTTATTCTCCAATCCCCACACCCCAGTGGGGAGTCAATGACTGCTTCAAAATTCTTTCTAAGTCTAAGGTGGAGTTCCACTGTTTGCTGACATTCTGTCATCCACTGTGTGTCAGAAGCCCTGTTTTCTCTTGCTCCTGTCTCAAGTGTTGGCTAATCCTCACACTACATGGATATGCCAGAGGGAACAAGCAATTTTCAAGGTACATGCAGTGGCACAGAATTACACTGCAAATCAAATATTCTGTTTCTGACAAGGAATAGAAAACAATATCACACTGTGGAAAAAGCAGTGCCCTATTAACTTCTGCCAAATGCATCGGCTGAAGTAGTAGTGCCAGGCTGAGGCCGAGCAAAGCCATTCCAAAATATATTTTAAAACATTACAACCACTACCAGCACCACAGCCACCACATTTTAGAATACCTGCAACACTCAATACAGGCGAAGTTCACATGTATAGTAAACTGCCACACTCCGTGTATATTACTGAGCAAAGAATCTTGCAATTTCCAAAGCACAATCAGTGGCACAGAAGTACATGGCAAATCAAATAATCAATCTCTTAGTAGAAATAAAATGAAAATAAATTACACATAAGTAAAACAATTCTAAGCAGTCAAAGTGGGTGTAAATGGCATTGGCAGCAGCATCTAGGCATTTTTAAGTCACTGGATGATGAGGGGTCCAACTGTTGCTGTCAACCTTTCTCTGTCGACGACTGGCACTATCCTCGTTATCCCTCATGCTCTGCCTAATGATGGTGATAGTAGTAGTAGTGGAGGAGAAAGCACTGGGGGTAGGTTGGGACAACTGGGCAGAATGAGATACAGAACCAGTCGACCTGCTGTATGTTCTAGAACTTTCTTGTTATGCTCAGTAATACAGACTTGTGGTGTCTTTTTCAGATGATGCTTCATACCAGCATCAGATGACCCTTCACCCAGTGATAGAACTACCGCCAGTGCCGTGGGTGCATCCACATCAGGCCCACCCAGGCCTCTGCAAAATTGGCATCAGTGGGAGGTCGTGAGAGCCTGTCACTTTTTACCATCTACAGAGGGTGCCGCACAGAAGGGAAACAAGAGACAGAGATGAAGGTGGAGAACAAGGAGATAGCCTGCTCCTTTAACACACCTTTCTTTATATTATGTGTGTTTTCACCATTCTTTCGTTTACTGTGCCCGCTCCCCGTTCGGAAGGTCTTCCACGAAAGGAATCCATTCACCTCTCGAACGAGGACCACCCCAATATCTCATTTAAAATTTTATGTTCAAACGTTTACACCTCACTACATAGGTGTCAAACCGCAAACTGCAAAGGGAAACATTTAATGAGTGCTTCCTTGGGTGGCCGCCATTCGTACAGACAAACACCACCAGGGGGAGCATTCGTGTATTGTTTCCCGACTCATTTGTCTCCCAAACAAGGACCTCCGCAGTGCCTCATTAGAACGTTCATATCAATTCATCAGAATGTTCGCATTCGCAATGTTCCCTGAGTTTGGTGGGGACACTCATGGGACTTTGGCTAAGTTGATGGGCTTGTCTGTGGGGTCAAAGAGACCAGCTCTTTCCGCATGGGCGGGCTTTTCTGTGCCTGGGAGACAAAGGGACGGTCCCTTTCTCCCGCTCCTGCACTCCCAGGCACAGAGGCTCCTGGGAAGAGGACCCCCTGATGGCTAGTGTGGGAAACCCTGTGTTCACAGGGGCAGGCTTTAGTGACAAATGGAACAATGTACCTTCCCATGCTAGGGTCCCAAAGAGGGGGAGGATCTTGGGATGTGACCTTGACTGTTTGTGTGGGAAACCCCTTGCATGGGGTTATGCATAAAAGCTGTGTGTAGCCAATAAAGTGTTGTTGTACCTCCAGAAACGTGTGTCGTTCAGTTACTGGGGGGAAATGGGTCTCATTTTTTTTATTTTATTTATTTTTTTCATTCTTTATTTTTGCAGTGCAAGTAAAGAATACAGGCTGATCTGCAATGCCACAAAAGCATGAGCAAGCAATATGTGTTACATGATGATACAGTGAAATTGCATTTGACAATTCTGCACAATGTTTTGATAGATACTATTCATGTAAGATAAACGTGTCTAATTCTGCTGCAGGGAAGATAGGCAAGACACGGATGGAACTGCTTAAGTACTAAATGTTAGGTTACATGCTAGGCAAATCATGGTTGGAACTGTTTAAGTAATAAATGTTAGGTTACATGTTAGGCAAATCATGGTTGGAACTGTTTAAGTAATAAATGTTAGGTTACATGTTAGGCAAATCATAGTTGGAACTCTTTAAGTAATAAACAAAAAGAGAGAGAAAATGAGTTTCCTAACAAGTTAAAATATAACTTTTTTTTAGTGATGCTAAAATCAGTGTAAGTTTCCTTGATAGGAATAATATTCCAAAAAATGATAATAAACTAAAGTATATACATTCTAATATTCAAAGGTATAAAGGTAAGCCAATGAATATATATTCTCTAATTGGTTACTTGTCAGTCAGAGAATATGTAGAAAAAACCCTGTAAAATCTTAAATGAGATACAGGGCTAAGAGTTCCACGCCATCCAGTCTCCACACATTCCTTGGGAGTTCCACGCCACCCAGTCTCCACACATCCTGAGCTCTCCGCAGTGAAAACCCCTACGGCCTACAGGGGGGAAAACGGGGCTGGCAGGCGTCTCTGGAAGTCGGCATGTGCAACCGGGAAGGGAGGTAGGGCAGCAGCCGTCCACCCCGCTCCAGTCTTCAGTAGGTCGCATCCCCCGAAGCTTCGTGCTCCCCACTGGGGACCCAAGACTCCCGCTCTCAGGGTCTGCCACCTCGTCCACCACCGTGTTTTCACCGTGTTTTCAGTTTTTCCCCAAAAGGCCAGATTTCTTTGGAGCCTCTCCTGCATGTGACCGGTCAGCATGGTGGTCCGGCCCCACCCTAGAAATGGGTCTCTTTGTACTTTAAATGGTTCCTGACCTGGAGAAAGGGAATTAGCGGAGGTAACCAGTTGGGTTACCCGTGGTCTGCTACACTGAGTACCTCCACCAGGTCAGCTTCCTGTCTAGTACAAGGGACTCTGAAGCACTTCAAATTCAGTCTTGATTGGGGTCTCTGAGGACCTCTTCCTTAGGACCAGACTGCAGTGAATATAGCTTGGGAGACCCCCTCTCCTGTAGATTAGTGATTATAGCTTTACTATAGCTTTTTCCACACACATTTGGCAAGTCTAAATGTAGGAGGTAGAATGATCTTTATTGTACAGAATATAGCTATTTATACAGAACACTGTTGATTCTCCCTGCAAGGGGTCCTCCATACAAAGCGACGCACAACACATACCCTCTAAAAGATTAGCCAGATCATGGCACAGTTTCAACCCAAGGAACTGTTTCAGAGTGTTTCTCCCATTCAGGCGCTCTATATATTTAAAACGCGTTCAGGAGATCCCCAGAGATCCACAAGCCCAGCTGGGAAGCATAGCATACTCCCTCTCACAATAACAAAAGCCCCTTTTGGCTCTTGGAGTCAGGCCTATAGTCTGCGAGCAGGAGGCTGGCCTGGGAGCTCAAACTGCCACTGGGGAGTCAGGCAATCTGCCTCCTCTCCCTGGGATGCAACCTGCTGCTAGTGAGAGAGGCTGGCTATCTTTGCCTCCTTGCCCTGGCGATTCTCCTGCTAATGTGAATGGAGGCCAACTACATCCTCTCCCTCTAGTCCAATCTGCCACTGGGGAGGCCAACTACTTCTACCTCCTTTCACTATATGAGAGAATATGTATATCCAGTTGTTCTCTGATGTTCGTTGTGATCGACAATTTGTGAAGATATTAAGGATCACTTAGTAAGGGATCCATGTATAATTCTCAAGAACTTTTGATGTCTGGTGACTTTTTGTATTTGAGATTTTTTTTTTATTTTTTTTTGCCGCTTAGCTCAAACAAGTTTTTTTTCACCCACACCATTTAGATAAAGGACAGAGGTATAATAGAAGCTCTCTCGGCTGACAAAGGCTGGCAACTGCAACATCCCTTGTTAGAAGTTAGTGAAAAGGTCAATTAATGAAAACGTCCACAACCAAAATGTGTAACATTTTTAAATAATTAGAAATATATGTTCCTTTAAGGATACTACACTTACACATCCTAACTTATTCTGGGATGGCTGATGCATATATTTGCTGTTAAGGCCGGCTGAACACAATGGTTAATGTAGTTTCCTACTTTTTATTTTCTACTGTTCTAAAGGGATAAAAAAATAGGAGCGAATTGGGCACCAATTTATATTCTATTAATAAAGAGTGCAATTTCTATGTTTAAACATGACACCATACAATGCAATTGTGAATCTCTTCCTTTAGTGATTTTTATCCCCAAAAGATCTGGGGTTATTTGCAAATGACTCAAGCTGGTTAACTTTTGATCGATCATTAGCTTATGGTAATGTAACATATAATATTTGCCTTGCATGTGGTAAACCTTGAATTATTTGCACTATGCTTCCATTGTTTGAGTTGGCATGTTGTAAAAAAAATCTATCCAAGAAAATTAACAGACAAGTTACTTCAAAGAATGTAAAGTCCCAGACTGAAATAGCATAAGTGTTCCTATAGAAAACACTAGCAAGGAGGGGGTGAGGCAAGGTGGCTAGCTAAGTAAACCCCAAGAACCAGCGTGATTAAAAGTCCTGAACAATGTCTTCAGAAGTTTGCCATCAGTTAATTAGCTGGAGAGTCAGAGGAATGATATGATCCTTTTATCAAGGAATATCTGGTAATTTGTTACATTTTTATGTTTCAGTTAGTATCAAAATAATTTAGTAGTTGTACTACAAAGTTCTTTTATATGTTTTGATTGCACTGGAATTTCAGTGACATTATATCGCAATACACAGGCAATTTTTGCCATAAAGATTCTATTAGATATGGCAAGGTATTGGGATGAAGGGGATACAAAGCATCCATTATGTCACGAAGCATTTTAAACATCAGAATGCGAAGCAACATCTCCAAACCTCCTCTCGATTGCTTGTGGAGATAAAGTGAATTTCCAATGTTAATTCTGTTTACAGGAAAATCACTTTTCCAAAATGTGTTAGAGACGATTTAATGTGGGAATGGTGTTTATACTTATTAAAGTGAATCACTTGTATCTTTTGTTTGTGTCCCTAAGTTTACATTATACATAAACAACAAACAGTGAAAGGAACTATAGTCACACAGACAACTTCATCTCAATATGAAGTGATCTTGGTGCAGTGGGGGACACACAGGGGCTGTAGAGGGGGAGGAGGGACACAGGGGCTATAAAGGGGGGGACACAGAGGCTGTAGAGGGTGGGGCACAGGGGCTGTAAAGGGGGACATGGGGACTGTAGAGGGAGGGACATAAGGACTGTAGAGGGGGACACAGGGTCTGAAGAGGGGGTACACACAGAGGCTGTAGAAGGGGTGGGCAGGGGCTATAGAAGGGGTGGGCAGGGGCTGTAGAGGAGGTTACAGGGGCTGTAAAAGGGGTTGCCAGGGGCTGTAGAGGGGGGCTGACAAAAAAAATGTAAGTATATCCTCCCACCCCTGGAGCTTACCTTGGGACAGGGAGGGGTGGGCAAGAGAAGGAGCCTGCAGCCAGCACAGAGCTGCAAGGAAGTCAGCCGGCCGGGCTTCCACTGCTCTTCTTCCAGACTCCCCAATGGATTGCTGGGGAGTCTGGGACAAGAGCAGTGGAAGTCACTTCCCCTCCTCCTGGCATCATCATGAGAGGCTGGCCGACTCCACTGGCTGCAGGGAGACAGGTAATCTGAAAAATCAGAGTCCTCAGCCAGAGGCAGGGGATTCTGATTTTTGTGCCCCCTGCTCTGATGATTCAATTCTGATGATGTCACCAAGGAGGCAGATCGGGGCCAGCGTCAGCGTACCTGCGTGGCGCTACAAATAAGGTGAGTTTTAACATTTTCTACGGGGGAGTAAGGGGGGCAAGCCAGCTAAATAGTGGATAAAACACTATAGGGTCGGGAATACATGTTTGTGTTCCGGAACCTATAGTGTTCCTTTAAATAAAGAGAGCAAATGAAGTAACAAAGCACATTAAATAGTAAGCAATATTTTTTTTATTAGGAAAAAAAAGCACCATTTGATTTATTGTTTGTACTGGACCATATGTTGTCACAGCATGTTTTAGTAATTCATAAATCCACACATGGCATTACAGTAAAGTTTAGCACCATTGGATACACACGCAAACACCTGTCAAATACAATTTCTAATTTAACGGTGTGTTCTAGATTCATTTCCTGAGCTCAAACAGGGTGATACATACAAATGAAAAGCAGACAACAAGGCCTTTATTGATTTAGAGTTTTCTAAAATTCTGTGTAATTTTTATTGAGAAGATTAGTTTTATGAATATGATTGAAAGAAGGCTCTTCATTTTTTTTATTTTCAAATACAGAGCTGTAATGAACTGCATGTTTAGAAGAATCGTGTTCAACCTTGGCCCTTCTACTGTTATTGGACTATCGAAGTTAGGTGGTAGAGAATTATGATATATGTGGTACAACATTTGGTTGCCAATTTGTGGTTTAAACATATTAAGCAGGAGGAGAGGTTTTGTTGATATTGCTGTTTGCACACCACTGACAATTCCATCATTTCAGCATATCTGTCTGAAAATATGTATGCAAGCTGGATTGTACAACATTTTCTTTTTGTGCCATTTTCTTACCTGTCAACATTTATTATTTAGGTTTTGTGTGGGAAAAAAATCTTTTAAACTCCTAAATATATGAAACATGATAGACAAACATACAACTAATTGTGTCTTACTTATTCACTGGTTTGCATTTAATTTTTTTCAAGCTGTAGCCGATTAAAAGATAAGTTTTCTCCCAGGACATAGTTGTCTTTGCAGTGTATTTGGGGGTACAGGCTCACCAGTCAGTGACCTTCTGACCACGGGCTTGCCAATAGCTTTCTGGTGATGCTCAGCAGAGCTTGATTCAGATGAGTGTGGCCACAAACTTGAATGATAGAGGCTATGGTGATAATGCCCATGCACTTTCGGTTGCTGTGGTACCACAGGCACATCTTGTACTGTTGCTTGTTGATCTTGTGCAGGCTAAAAACACAAAATTGCAAACAATTAATATGACCATGCAAATTCAAACATATCAGTAACATTGATAGAGCTTGTAATTCATATTTAAGACAGCAGATGGTGGAATAATTCAGCTAAAATCTAAAGATGGATTCAAGGTTGGTCCAACAGACCTAAACAACACTTTGGGATGGTGGTGGCACATTGCTTTATGGTTCCATACACATGCCACTCCTTGTTCAATGCATGCCCCATCCTGGAAGGTTGCCCTATGCTTTTTGATAGGTATAATTCATTGATGGGAATTGACAAGGCAGCTCTGGTTATATTGCTGAGGAAGACAGGAGGCTATTTGTTGGGATGAGCACTGGAATTTTTAGGTGCAAGACAAAATGTTAAGTGCTGTCTGTCCAGCATTCAGAAACTGCAGTAAGAAGGACAGAGTTACCGTCTGTCAGCTGCATATTAACATTAAATTGGGCAGAGGGTGTTGGGATGTGAGGCGATATCCTGGCATCCATTGCTCATTTAATGGGCACCATGTAAATGAGGGCAATAAGGAATGTTGCCCAGTGAACAGATACTGCTTCTCTAACATTCAAAATCATGAACAGCAGACATAACTCTCTTCCTTCTTGATGAAACAAGGGTAAGCAGCAGGAGAGAGTGGAGGCAAACGTAATACAATTACAAAATATGGCTGTGAGTGTTTGGCTATATATGTGAGTGTGTGTCTATATATGTGTGTGTTACTGTGATTCAGAGTATGAATGCTAGCTTGTGTCTATGTATATGTGAAAGTATTGGTAATTTTTTTGGTAAGTGTAGGTGTACCTTCAGAAGGTGGGGTTTAGTAAGTGATGCTGGAGGCACACCTTTTGCCTTTGGTTCCAAGCATCAATGTCTTGGGCCAGCCTTATAGATGTATATGTTACATGTGTTATGTTATTTAAACAGCTCCAAAAGTGCATTTATGGTAGGTAAAGTCAATATATAGAAATTACTATAGAGAGCATAACTACATTTGCACACATTAGTATAATAGGACCCTGCCCTGGACAATTTACCATACAAATAGTATTTACTTGGGCAGGTGGCTGATATATAGAAGGAATGTCTACATTCATGTTATGGTTTCCTCATTTGTAGCTAAATATAGTGTAGTGTATACTTTTGTTATAGGGTTGTGTTAGCTTGAGTTGTCTTCACTTTATTACCTATGACATTTTGTTAGACAAAAAATGCAAGTACTAAAGCTTTATTGATATGCACATGAATCCTCTCAAAATACATAAAAGGACATGCATCACTTTGTTACAAGGTAAAGAGATTTTCCAGCTGCAGATGTCTAAGTCTGTCAGGAATGCTTAATGCACTTTTCTAGTATTCCTAGGGATAGGGCAGTGATTGGTTAGCTCAGTGTCCCCTTCAAGTGGGTGTGGAAAGCATAATAAAGAAAAAGAACGTGAATACATTTATAGTATGAAGACACAATAACAATCATGTAAACATGCACTAGTACTGATGTGGAAGGCACACACAAATGCATATCCATAGACACACTACCACACAAACATGGAGAAATAAACATGCATATACATATCCATGGACACACTCCCACACAATCAAGTGATAATTTTAATCTCTCTCCCTCTCGTTACTCAACTCAGAAAGACAGAATAGAAAAGCTCCATGCAACTGAGCTATCCCTCATGTCTAGAGTTAGGGGAACAGGAAAGCTGTGCTCTGAGCAGTAGCTCTGCCGCTTCACAACCTGCACCATTATTTATGGATTCCAGACAGCCAGCAGTTACTGCTCTATTCAGCGCCCACAGACATCAGTGGTGTGTGCTGATCCTACCTGTGGTCCATAGATGTTGCACTGCACATTGACAGTCTCCTCCTGTAGAGCAGGATTTGTGACAACTGTACTAACGCACCCACCATATTGCTGTAACAAAACATAAATAAATTAGAGATTCTTCCTCATATATGTTATTTGAAGCCAATTATAACTGCTAATCGTATACTTTGTAGACATAAACGAATATATATGGATAACATTTTGTTTTGCAGTGCAATTTTTTCATGTAATTTTTTTTTTTTTAAAGAGGCACTTCAGTCATCATTACCACTTATGGTTCAATGTTCCTCATTTTTGGAGGGTGTGGTCTTGTTTTGTCTTATTTTTTTTTACCTTTTTCAAGTATCTGCATATCAAAACAAAAGCTAGAGTCCATAATCATGCAATGTACCCCTACGATTTGGAAGTATTTGAAAAGATAATTGAATTTTACCTTATTACATCACAAGATAAATATGAGGACTTTGGGCACTAGGGATTCATTGTTTTTATCAACCCAAATTGTTATTTTTATTATTATTAGCATTTAGATAGTACCAATTTATTCCACAGTGCTTTGCTATCATAGATGGGGATATTTGACAACAAGTAATTAGCATAAAGAACAAAACACAGACGAGATGAAGAGATGAAGAAAACCCTGCTCAAATCAGCTTACAATCTATGAGGAAAGGGTAAAGATGCATGCAAGAGGAAGGACAGCATGTCATAGCAGGTATGGGCAACGTTTGGCACTCCAGATGTTGTGGACTACATCCCCCATAATGCTCTTACACCTATAATGCTGGCAAAGCATCATGGGAGGTGTAGTCCAAAACATCTGGAGTACCGAAGGTTGCTTGTCAAAGGGTGTAGTGGTTGATGGATAAAATGCCTGTGTCAAAATCCGTTAGTAAAAGTGGTGTGTGAAAGAACAGTGGCAAGAGAGAGAGTGTACTGGACTATGTAAGCAAGGAAACTGAGGAAGGTAAATATAATGAGAGAGGCATCTCACAGGACAAAAGTAGGCTATCCTAAAGAGATTTGTTTTCGGTGACATCTCAAATAAATGGAGGCTAAAGGAGAGTCTGATGGCATGAGGTAAGGATTTCCAGGGAAATGAGGCAGCCCTTGAAAAGGTTGGCAGTGAAGGAATAAGCAGTACAAAGTCACTTGCAGAGAAGAGGGAATAAGAAGAGGTATATGTCACTGGAGTCTTACCACAACACACAGGGAAGTGGAAAACCACAAAAGTTGGATCCGAAAGACGTATTACCGAGAGTTAGGCTGGCCGGACTTAACGTATTAATACAGCAAGAGACAGGATCGAGATAAATCAAGGTCAGGATTACAGAAATCACAAACCAATACAAAGCTTGGTCAGGATACCACAAAGTGACAATCTATACAGAATAGGGCAATGAACGTAGGCTAAAACAACATAAAATAAACTATAGTAAGAGGAAAAATTCCCAAAAGGAAAAAAATCCTCCACTAGAACTACCCCCAAATTAACAATATATGTGTGATATAATCACATAAAGATACATATGTAGAAAATAACAATAACCTTTATTAAACACCACTAAAATATCCAAACCAAAAGAAAAGTAAAAAATAAAAAATGCAGACTAATCTCGGCTAAAGAAAGCTGCTGAGCACATCAAGACCAAATTGAATATAGTGAGTACAGATAGGGTTGTTACATAACACAGTGAGTCTAAACAATGTAACAACCTCTGACAAAAAGACTCAAATGGCAACAGCAGCTTATAGAAAAAGCCGAAAAAATACTCAGCTGTAACCCTAAATATATCTAAATAGGAGGCACTGTATAATATACTATCTAAATAATAATGCTAGTGAAGGAACCCTTGCTTACTAAAACACAAAAAAATAGATAACAGATCTATTAGTGATATCCAGAAATCGAAATGATAGTAAGATGGGTAGTAAAGAAAACTGATATAGAAAGTGAACAGCAAACAGGAGGTAAATCCTCCACTGTAATTCTCTAGAGTAAGAGTGTATATGCCCCAATGATACCCATTGACCGGCCGGTCATATGTAAATATGGGTACAGCTAACGTACATACAAGTGTGTATTAATATAGTATAACACAAATGTCCGCATCAAATATTGCCCAACGCGCGTTTCGGCGGGTAAACCGCCTTTTTCAAGGGCATCCTGTACAAATCCCCCGCTCAAACTTACTCCTTAAAAGAGCGAGTAACTCCTCCTCCTAAAGAATGAAAGCCAATCCTCGCCGTTCGCCCACAAAAAGGGGGTGCGTCTATTCATTCCTCCTCGCCAGGAAAAATCTACAGTGTGTCGAGAGGTCCATAATCCCCGCGCATGCGCGCGGACTTAGAAAAGGGAGACTAAAAAATCAACCGATCAACCGGCTCGAATTGCCTAAAAACAGCGATAGTCTTCCTTTAGAGTTTAGGGATATACAAACAAAACACCCTAAATACCAATAAAGTAGTCCTAATAAGCCAATAGCCAACATATATAAATAAAGAGTAGAAAAATTAAATTCTTAAATTTTTATCATTAGAACTGTCAAGATAGGGATATATTTATGTACAATTGTGTATAATAATGTATAAATAAATCACTATTATTAGATCCCTATATGACAGTAAGTTCAAATATATATGGCCATGGCTAAAGGGAGAGGAGGGAGGGAAAAAGAAAAAAATAAATTAAAAAAATTTAGAAGGCGGGGGGTGGAGAGGGAGAAAAAGGATAAATAAATAAAAAGGAAATAACAAAGGGAAACATAGATCATAAATTATGTAGTCAAAAAAATAGTAAACCAACACAATATATATGTGGTCATTATATAATAGTTCCCGTCGGCAGGCCAAAATAAAAACCCAAATGAATATCAAACTTGAATTAAATTAGGTTCAAACATCAGAAGAAATTAGCTCTCAGAGATGACTAAATGAATGGGGCAAAAGAAAAGCCTTCATTCAGACCCAGAGGTTGAAGGGTCTTTAGTTCATAGATCCACCTAGACTCACGTTGTCTCAGGATCTTATCAAAGTCTCCACGTCTAGGATTCCTCTTCACTAATTCTAACCCACAGAATTGAAGATTATTCGAACTGCCATGATGACATTCTTTTAAGTGTCTAGAAATAGGTGTCTCAAGACGATTCCTAGGGGATCTCACATGTTCTAATATTCTTTCCTTGAAGGCTCTAAATGTTTTTCCCACATATTTCTGTCCACAGGAGCACGTCAAAAGGTATACGAGCCCCTTAGTGTTACAATTAAAAAAGCTTTTAACCTTAAAAGCCCCTTGGCCCAAACTGTCACTTATTGTTTTAGAGCCCTTAAAGATGTACTTACAGGCTACACACCTGCCACAGCAGTAGGTACCACAAGGAGGAGTTCCCAGCCAGGAAGGTCGTATCTGTGTCTTAGTGGAAAAATGACTCGGTACCAACAAGTCACGGATGTTATGTCCACGTCTAGCTGTAATATTTACTTGTGGGCCCAAAACTTCCTTCAAGTGTACGTCATTTAAAAGAATGGGCCAAAATCTATCTAGGGATCTGCGTACCTCAGACCAGCCTGTGTCATATGTCGCAATCATGCGAATGGTGCTTATTTCCCTGCCCTCAGATTTAACTGGATGGTCAGATAGCAGTTGATCCCTTTCAGTTAAAAGTGCTCTTTTATATGCCTTCTTTAAACAGCGATTCGGATAACCTTTCTCTTTGAAGTGTATCCTAAGCTGTTTCGCTTTCATTTTAAAGTCCTCAATATCACTACAGTTTCTCCGGAGGCGAAGGTACTGGCCTACCGGAATGCCTTCCTTTAGGGGTCGCGGATGGTGACTCTCTCAATGTAAAAGGGAATTAGAAGCCGTCTGTTTTCTAAACAGGGTAGATTGAAAAGTCCCATCTTCCTTGATGGTGATGGTCACATCTAAAAAATTAATAGAGCGTCCTCCAAACTCTGATGTAAAATGGAGGTTCTCATCGTTCTGATTAAGTAATCCAACTAACTCAGAAAATTGTTGGGAAGTACCCTGCCACACAATTAAGATGTCATCAATATAACGACCCCACCATAAAATGAAGGGTAAGTATTCTGACAAGACATCAGAAGTATGGATCGAGTATTCCCACCATCCTAGGTGGAGGTTCGCATATGAAGGGGCACAAGGTGTCCCCATAGCAGTGCCTCTCACCTGGTGGTAGATTTTACCATTAAATAAAAAATAATTGTGTGACAAGATGAACCTCAGAAGGCGTAAGGAAAAAGCTGTATGTGAGTCATCCCTATTACCTCGTTTATCAAGAAAGAATTCCACATGGCTAAGCCCTTTTTCATGAGGGATAGAGGAATAGAGCGATTCTACGTCTAGGCTACAAAGCTGGACAGTAGGTGAAAATTTAAGATTTGAGAGCCGATTAAGAGCTTGCTTCGTATCCCGGATATATGAGGGTAAAGTTTCGACAAAAGGTCTCAAAATTTTGTCTATATATAAGCTCCCGTTTTGCGTAAGATTCTCGACTCCTGAGACGATAGGACGTCCCGGGGGTTCCTCCAGATTCTTATGGACCTTCGGCAGGCAGTAGAAGGTTGCTATCCTCGGGTGACGATTAAGAATAAATTCATACTCGTCCGCCGATAGCAACCCTCCACTGCGGCCTTCGTCCAGAATTTCTTTATATTTCAAAAGAAAGTCATTTGTGGGGTCACATTTAAGTACTCTGTATGTTTCAATGTCACCTAAGACATGTTCTGCCATTTTAAGATATTTCACCACATCCATTATTATAATATTGAATAAACATCGGCTGGCTTAATAATGAAATGGCTCAGAGGAAGAACAGCAGGATACGGTCCAGAAAAACCACAGTTCAAATCCCCTATCGGGCGCTTCCAGAGCGACCACGTCTGGCAGACTGGATGTCACGGCGTGATCCGTGACACATGCCTTGACTTATACTGTGACGAGTGGTAACATTCAAATCAGTCAGCCCCCGGGAGACGGACTGATCTCTGGGTTCTGCGAAGGAGACAGCGATCGAAGGAGTCTTTGTGTTGTCTGATAAACGTGAGTTGGTCCATCCTGGTGGGTGTGAAACCTGACCACCTAATCTGTGGTCACCTGCAGTAGGGTGCAGCCGATCTAGCACTTTCTTATCAATCCATGTATAGTACCAAGAAGTCTACTAGGAAAAGAGCCGTGCTATTCAGAACGAGTGAACGAATCTTGCTCCATCAGGTGTTGATTAGTTTTCAGGGAGTGATCTGAATGAGGTTCTCCCGGAACAGAGTGTCTCATCCTCCCCCCTGTATTTATTTCGAGGCCCTCCAGGTTCCGAGCTCCTGATCAGGAAAAAATTTCCTTTCCTGGAAACCTGGGATAAGGTCCTAAGGGGGAGGAAGTGATATGCTGACGTGTCTTTAGGTCCCTGAACACAAGTCGGTTGTACGTGAAAGTGGTCTTCCCCAGGATTGAGTGCCTTTATCTAGATGCGGTGAAATTCTGTGGATGTAGCAAGGAGGTAGATTGCTGGTACCTAATGTATGTGCGTTCCGTGTTCTTATCGCTTATCTAGCTCCACTGGTTCTCTCGCTCTATATAGCGGTAGCTATCGGGTTTAGATGTCCGAAGTGGTCACGACTGGCTCTGACCAACGGTCCAAATTATCCCTTGTAAAGGTTCGCATAACAGTCCTGAAGGTTTGGGTCTTATATCAAATTTGCAATAATTTGCATAAAAGTTTTTGTGCTGGGGTCCAGCTGCCTCCTCCCACTCCGTCATTAAACTGTGTTCTCAGAGTGAGAGGAGGGAACATTTTTCTGAGACCCCTTGGTATCATCTCTTTTTTCATATAATTTTCTAAGGATGAGATTTCCCAACAAGTTCGAATCTGTTTTTTATACAGGTTATGGAGTTTATTAAATGATTTATTAATGTCTGGAGTGGCAGTGCTAAGATCTAATTTTGTGTTTGAAAACACATTCTCTGCATCTCTACACCAAACACTGCCATCCATTTTATTAGAAAGAAAGCCTGCCATACTGGGAAAGTAATAGTAATACACTAAGTAGAGAGACCACTACAAATAGCCCTGGTATTAAAACCACAGAAAATATAAACAAAATAAAGTACAACTAGGCAGAGTATATCAATGTAAAAACTCTGACCAGGAGTACCGAAGAAGGGCTAAGGGGGTAGCAAAACGGGCATAACCCTATATACAAAACAGCATAAAATAAACTATAGTAAGAGGAAAAATTCCCAAAAGGAAATAAATCCTCCACTAGAACTACCCCCAAATTA